ATATATAGGTGTAGTAGTACCTCTTCGGGCTCTTGTACACCTTTTTCTTGCTACGTGTGCGTGTTCTTTAGATCCTCAGATGGCTCCAGCACTTTCGTGACCACGGGCCGAGAGTCTTTGCTAGATTTTGGCATTTAGCAACTGGCATACGGTTTAATGTGAAGTCAACAACAACAACAACAACAACAGCGTAGAACTTGTCTCGACGTGGAGGTATCGGGCTTGGACGATTGGTTCAGGGCATGTGTCGTAAAAAGTAACACAGACAAGGCATGTTTACAGTTTTACAGCAGTAACCCTGTTCTTCGTCATAAAATAAAATATGTCGCGCACAATACGCGTCCCGTCGAACCTCTTGAACATGTACGCCCAATGGACATAGGGTAGTCTACATACAAGGGAACGTGAACACACACCACACAGATTGCTGTCACATTTCACCCGCAGGACGCAGGACATTCTACGATATGATGACGTCAGTGGTACAGTATTGCCCCCTTTCGACGAAGAGGCACCCAAAACGTCAGTTCTGTGGCGACGTGCGACCGTGCGGATGCGGAATTCGTGCGAGTTTGCCGCATGCGATCTACACTGCTGTAGTGTTTGGAGTGTTTTCAATAGCGACAGCCAGTGCCCAGTGCTTGCGTGTGGTCCCATGTCACGTGCACGGCAGTCCGACGTGCACGCAACTGATACAATTCAACAGATAGGAAAGAAGGCAGCCGCGGTATGTATTAATAGCATGCAGCAGTTTACAGCACCGCCGTGCTGCTTGTGCGTTGTACGCAGCAGCACCGCAATCAGAAGCAGATGGAATCACTTCGGTGGTCGACGGATGGACAGCACATGTGTGCGTATACGTACATAACTCCAAAGGGGGAAGGGCTTGCCGCACTGCAGCAGCAACACAGCAATAGCAGGATGATCGGCATCTTGTGCTTACTTCCTTGCGTACGAATGACAGCTGCGCTATAGCACCGCCCACCTCGTGGACATCAGCAATGGCAGCAGACTGGCTCTGTTACAGCCCAGGAGAAGACTGACGTGGGTACAGCATTACACACCACTGCTGTGCAGGCTGGGTTATAACCGACAAATACATGTATGCTTAGGACCAATCTCATCTAAACTCTAGACCACAGATTACTGCACCTACCTGCACGAGCTTCTCAAAACGTAAGCATACCTTCTAACACGCGGTACTCCTAGGTGGGCAAAAGCGACGTGGCGGCTGGATTGTTCTTCCGGCCGAGAGTCCGCACACAAACGAATGGCGGTTGGTTGTGGTCGTTGCGTTACGGATGGCGGAACACAGCAGGATAACCGGCTGGCACGCGCGAACGGGGGCTTCGTCTGGTCTTCTTGAGGGCGCCAGCCTTGGGTACGTATTGTTACCGCATGTTCATGTAGGGCCTACATTGTACATCGCAGGGCGCAAATGGTCAGGGTGTGCCACGACGAAGGGGTGTGTCTTGCCCGTGCAGTCTACGTATTGATCTGCGTGTGACCTGTGTTGCATCGATGTTGTCGAGATGAGTCACGTTCCGTGGTTGCTGTCTGCAGTCTAAGCAGCCGCGTAAGTAGCTAGTCATAGACTCCGTTCTACATCGGAACCGTGGTGCAAACAGACGATCTACAGCACGCTACAGAGATTGTATTTCAGTCAACAACAGCAGTGAGGGGTGAAGGACAACCGCTGGATACCGGTCCTGTATGTAGGCGCGCAGTAAGTAGTATTTGCCATTTTCTGAAGTAAATGTGTGGTCTTGGAAAAACGGAGAGGCCGCGGTTCCTGGTTTCCGGAACGGACAAGCAGGAAGTGTGTGTGTGATTGTTTGAGATCGTCCAAACGTGCGGTTTCTGCAAAAAAACAGCTCGCGTCACGGAAGACAAGCTGCGTGCTGCTGACGCGCGAGCGGAGGAGGGGGCGGGGCAAATAGGTTGCAGACTAAGCCCTCACGCAGCAGCAGAAGCAGCAGCAGCAGCCGCAGCAGCAGCAGCAGCAGTTGCTCAGAGAGGTCATTATTTGTTTACAAACGGGCCACCGGATGTGCAAATAATGCCACATAGGTTCAAAGTTCACAGGTCATGGGAGTTGACCGTTGTTCCGATAGTCTACCTTTGTTGCAGCAGTAGTTGGCCTCCATGTCTCCATTAGTCTAATTTTCATCTCACCTCTTTTCTCTTTACTGGACAAGCAACAGGCGAAACCTGGTCCTTACACCCAGCAGTGGCGCGCAGTGGCCTCCCAGCAGTACCTGCTGTTGTTGTGTTGTTGCTGTTGTTGTTGTTGTTGTTGTTGTTCTTGTTCTTATTGACTTGACATAAAAACCGTTTCGATCTCTCGCTACCCAGGACCTTCATATGCTGTACTGATCCAACACTCGGCGCGGTCGATTCCCGTGGTCGCGGGCTAACTTACCCCAAAAAGGTACACTCAAATCAACTGGCCCCGAGGGGTCCGCAAGTCCGTAAAAATCAACGACAGATATTCTGGAGTCCTCCACTCCATCTGTGCGCTATGCGTTGTACTCCACAACGCAAGCAGAGACAAGGCCATCTGGCACAGAGAGAGAGAAAAATAAAAAACAATAAAAAAAAGAGAAAAAGAGAAGAAAATAAATGGAAACAATGAGGAAAGAGTAAATGAAATGAAAAAGAGCGGGGACGGGGAGGGACCAGGCCGAAAATAACATGAAAAAAGAGGCAGACGCAAAAAGGCACACGGTGGAGAGACCACTAACGAACAAGCAAACACGCAAACATGGCCACCAACCAGCGATACATTTGCATACGTGGGTAGAAGGGCACACACACGGCACTAGAACTCCGCTAAGGGGATGCTGCGATTGGCCGAATCAAGCCGGGACGCCAAAATCAAGCCAATGGCATGCGAGTGAATTGCCCGCACTCTAGATTCTTTCTCGACCGTCCTGTCTCTGAAGAACAAGTCATTTTATGCGGACCGCGATCCCTGCCGAATCGACTTCTTTTGGCGTCTTGCTCGACACACCGGGAGAAATTCTTGCGTGACGTCCTCCGCCCCACACACGCCCTCACAACCACTCCGCCTCCAGCACCACTCCTCTCCAAAAGAAACCCACCGCAAAGGCCAGTACCCTCAGAGCAGCCCGCGCGTAATCTCTCTCCTTTTTCCCACCCCCGCGAGAAAAGAAAGATGGCTCGCACTGCTTTCGCTGCTCTGGCCTTCGGCATGCTCGGTGCCGTCAACGCCCTGGAGGTCACCTCGCCCGCCGCCGGGGACATGATCGTCGCCGCCAGGTGAGCGACGAGAGGAACAAAGTAGCGCCCAAGACACGAAAGAGAAACATAAGCACAACGAGAGCATGGTGTCGCCTCATGCATATGTAGCCCCGGCAGTAGCAGTAGCAGCAGCAGCAGCAACAGCTGTGAGAGGACAGATCCGGGGTCAGTCGGTCCCTCTTGGGATGTGTATATTTCTTCTGATCTGTTGAACAAAAAATAGGAAGAACAGATGTCACGTTTTTGTGAAATGGCTGTGCAAGGAACAGGAGCGAGATGCACGTTTCCCTGCCGCGCGCGAACGCCGTTTTAGAGGGTCGTTTGCCAGACGTGTCCGCTGCTCACTCTCTCGTACAGCAGGCCCGATTCTTCGAGCGGCTAGCAAATGCGCACCGTAGTCCTCCTTGATGATAATTTATTTCTCCGGTGGGAAGCCGAACGCGTATCATTTATCCCCAACAGAACACCCTGTTGTTCCCCCAAAACCCCAAACATGTCGAGTATTTTTCTGCCGTACGAACAACGAACTACAGGCGCGCTGAAGTTGGCGCACTCCGTGTCTCACATACCCATGCCAGCAAAACGGCCAGGACAAGCGCGTCATGTTGGTCTCTTGTTCGCCCGGCTGGGCGTGTTCTCGGCAGAGAACAGAGCGCGGACGGGCGCGTTCGTTCGTGCAGGAACCTACTCCCTGTTCTCTTTTTCGAAGAAAACACTCGGATTTCGATTCGGACTCAGCTCGGGGTAGATTGTATTTCGATGGGGAGCTTCCACTCTCTGCTGCCTACTACAAAGATGTCGTACGGTGGAGCGCGCCTACATGGTGCGCCTCCGGAATCTCTGTAGCTCCCGTCTAATTAATCTCCACTGACCCATCAACACGTGCAATTGAACGCGGCCAGGGCAGATCAGTAGATCATTTCCTGGCCACCCCAACGCTGGCTGGCCAACGGTTCAACAAAACGGCACACGCATCATCGAACGCGCCTTTTTGTCGCACGCCCCCTCTCTCTGCGTCCTCGATGTCAAGTTCCCTCAAGCCGTGCGAGCGCTTACCTGTGTACCCGTATTGTTCTGCTTGCCCTAAATTCGCACGGACTTATCATTCCTCTGCCAGCCGCCACCCACGGATCACGTTTTCCTTACTCCGTCGTTTCTAACTCTTAAATATTTGTTTTTTTTCGTTCCACGAATGTTCATCTCTATCCAAAGGTTAGGGTCCAGCATCAAACATTCAAATTCATACAAACGCATAACAATAGCGGAGCGCCACTCATCTATATATGATACAGCACTCAAGCAGCGAACAGCGATCATGTCCCTTGAATATATGTAGTCTGTATGCTCTTTCCATAGATCGCTTGTAAGGTAAGACTTTGTTCGGGCGGAGACGAGCCTCCCCCCCAAAGTATCGAGGCTCGACCCACTCGAAACACGGATGAACTACGTACGCTATACACCGGAGACGATAAACGGGCAAGTATCTGGCCATCTCGCGCCGGACATGCACATGTATGGAACTCGTCTACGACAATACGCCCCACCGACTCTTGCATGTAGACCCCTTCATCGTAAGTTCCAAATGAAAAATGAATGCATGTACGAACGTGCTGCTTGATCATTCAATATTTTTGTTGCATCTCTATTGACAGATAAGCGTCCAGAGGATGAATTGGTCGCAACACTGAACCCAACGCGTTTTTTTTTCAGCCTACCACGCACCTGTCATTACCAGAGCAACCAGGAATCAGATCGTTGTTTCCCGGCGATAGGTAACATACCATTTCGGCTCCTACATTTTGAAAGATGCCACCACAAAAGCATCAGTGCATGCATGTCATCATAGCAGTGGGCGTGGGGGCAGGTTGTGGTGCTGTTTTGTTTGGCTGGCAACAGGCTAAATAACCAATTCATCCTGTACCGCAGTATCAGCGGTAATTCGTATGTAGTAGTGTCGGTTTTCAGAGTATCCCCCCCACCCACTCCTGATGATGTTAATTTCATGTGTGTTGGCAGGCGTAGTAAGTTTATCTGCAAGTCTCTCGTCAGCAGCGATCACACGGGGGTGCCTCGCACATGTTTGGTCAACATTGAGCGTCTTGTCCGATGCCTGTTTTCTCTTGTGTCTTGTCGCCAGTTCTACCACCGTGGAGTGGACCGGAACCTCGAGCGGGCGCTTCGACATCGACCTCTACTACTGCGGCTCCGTGTGCATGGAAGTAAGGACACAGTTGTCGATGATCCACTGCTGGAGTTTATTCCCTAGTGTTTATTGTCGGCAGGTTCCCGCTTGGAAAAAATAACGAGCGTAAATTACCACCCTGGTGCGTCTTGTGGGGGTGGGGGTGTTACAGGCGAAAAAACTGTCCACGTCAAATCGTCTAGTATGTGAACAGGGTGTATGTCGGTCATTGCGTCTAAAAGAAGAGGCGCGGCTGGATATGCCAGATTTGTCTGCAGTACCGTGCCGGATATGTTGACCTCCAGAAGCCTGCACATCCTGCGTGTCTCGTAAGATATTTGTCGTCTTGTTTTCCTCTGGAAAAGGCATCGAGCCCGCCATCCACCCCTTGTTGCCATGTCCAACGTCCTACTAAGCACATAGCCCCCCCCTCCCCCCCCCGCATCCCCACTTCACTAACGGTCGCTCCGCGCTCGTGTTTTACAGGACGAGTGCGGGGACTGGGTGACGGCCCTTTGCCCCTACGGCGACGACGGTTGCCCCGACACCCAGGGAGACTACGACGTCGTTATGCCCGAGCCCATGGACGGTACCTCCAGCGGCTACAAGGTGCGCTACCTTGATGCGTGCGCGTGTGCCTGCTGTGGGATGAACGGAACGACCACAGCAGTAGATGTAGGACGGCGTTGATTGAAATATTCGGGGGACAAGGAGCGCATCTACGATGTAGACGGCACACAAAAAGACTTCGATGGAAAACCCACATGGCGTGCGTGCGGCTCCAAAAACGATCTGGTTCGGAGAGGGGTGTTTCTTTTCTGCAAAAAGAAGCGTGTTGAAGACACTTATCGCAGTACAGGCGTGAAATGTTGGCATTTTGTAGTTGTTGTGGAGCCGTCCTTGTAGAAATCTGCTCGATACTGGATGGCGTCCGCCCCCCCGGCGAGTGGAGCTTGCTTAACAAGGTGTTGTTCCTCGCTCCAACTCCCAGGTCATGGTCACTGACTCCAGTGATGAGTCCGACATGGGCTGCTCCGGCGAGTTCACCCTGGTAGCGTCCGCGGATGCGCCCGACGCGAGCGAATCGGGAGCCTACGTCACCGTCGAATCTCCCTCAGCCGGTGACACAGCCATGGCGGGTGGGGAGTACACCGTTGAGGTGGGATGTAGTTCGGTGCTCACACGAATGTTTTTGTATCGCATGGAGGACACCTGATATCACGGGACAGCTGTGTAGTTTACTCTTTGAAGACCTCTTCACGCGAGAGGTAATTCATGCGAAGGCATGTTTCCAACGACGTTTTCTCTCTTGTTGGTGCTGTGTGCCCCAGCGCTCCTGGGGTGACAGAACAATTGAGAACCTTCTTCTTATTTCCTAATTTCGTGTACGATATTATCGTCCATGATATCATTTTGCCGGATTCCCCACCCTCTTTCGCTCACCCCTTCCGCGCATGCGCTCTCCACCCTGCCCTGCCGTCTTGCAACCCGAAAAAAGTTCGACCACGACAACGGCTTTGGCTCCTCCGTGAACCGGTTCTCCATCGACCTTTACATGTCCGGCGGCTCCGGCGACTGTGGAACTTACGTGACTTCTATCTGCGACAAGTCCAGCATCGGCTGCAAGGACTCGCGTACGTACATAGCAAAACTCTTGGGTTGCCTTGTGTTATAAAAGCAGTGTGTACTTCGAAGCAGAAAGCAAGTTGATTTGGTTTGATTTTGATGTCTTTGGAATGTGGTTTTTGTCTCCCGTGTCCCAACTTAGTTTTCCTCGTTTGCTGATGACTCGAGAACTTGGGTGTGTTTGTCTCGTGTTGGTGTGGATTGCATGGGTCCTTCGTATTTGCCAAGAGAGGAGGCACGATTATGTCACGTAAGCAATGTGGACACGTCGCTAACTCCCCCCCCTTCCCTTCCACTGTGGATTGACGTTTTGCATGAGCCTCGTGTCGGACTAATGAACCCCAACCCAACCCCTTCCGGTGCTTTTCTTCGTGTTTTTTCCGCCTGGGTTCTTCTCATCAGAGGGCGACTACGACGTGGTGATCCCCTCGGACACCGAGTCCGGCATGTACTCGATCCGAGTGGGCGTCTTCGAGGATCCCGACGTGTTCGGCTGCTCCGACTCGTTCGAGATCATCGGCGGCGAGTCCAGCATGAGCGTTCGATTCTAAGAGAATGTCCTCTGCGATCTATCTGATAGGTTCCTTTGAAATTTAAGCTGGAAAGAATGACTGATTGACAGGATTTCGTTCTGTATCGGTAGAAGACGTTAGAATGTAGGCTTTTTTGGTGGACAAAATGTTCTCTTGTAGTCTTATTTGAGTCTAGTTATCGGGTTGAACGATCGATCGAGTGCGAGAAAGGATAGGTAGGGCAATGCCAAAGAGAAGATGTAGAAGCACACGCAACCTCGTTTGCGAACGCGCAATAAAAGACGTTGGGCGGGGTTCGGACAAATTGGCGAAATTATACATGTGCTCCGTTGACCTAGTTACGTTTATCTCGTGGGGGTCCTTTCCATCTTTCGTCTTTTCCTTCGTACGTGTGGTCTCCTCCGGTAGTCTTGCCCCCCGCCTGCCACAGCCTTCATCCTCTTGCTTGGCGTCGTGTTGATCGTGTCGGGGTATCGTTTCTCCGCCATTGTGGGCACAAAGGGTATCGGCAGGTAGGGGGGTGGGTGCATTTGCGCCGTCGTGTATCGGAATTCTCTCTGTTTTATCGTGACTTGATTTTGTCTCTTGGGACGAGAACGATGCCTTTGGCGGACATGTGACGGTTAAAAAATAAAGTTAGACCATTTCCGAATGAGTCGCCTTCATTCGCTTGGCGAGAGGGCGAGTTTGGGCCATTGCCCTCTCCTCTCCAAAACTTGAATCATCTGTAATACTACTGCTGTGGTACCCTGAGGAGGTTTGGACAGCCAAATGTTTCGTTGTATTGGAGAGTCTTGTCTACGTGGGCATTTAGCTACATAGCGTTCGGGCGTGCCTCCCTCCACCACCCCACCGGCCCCTCTTCTGGTTCTACTTGCTGTTAACCTTTTAATCTATACAATATTTGTTTGGGTGGCTCCTACCGTGCGAAGCGAAGCCGCCTTACGAGGAGAGAAAATGCTAGTTGACGTCGGCCCGTCCATGTAGAGCCTGATGTTCTCACTTTTTCCCAACCATTTGTCTTGTGAACTTTTCGGCACGATTCGTCTTCGTCGACCGTTTATCCGGGTCTGTGTGCGTTAGCGTGTGCCGTGATCTCTGACCAGCACGCGCGCAGTTGTTGCCCTTCCTATGTTCCGTTGACGCGAAACCGATTGTCTCTTGAAATGGTGGCGAAAGGAATTTAAGTTACAGAGGGAGGCATTTGGGTGTCTGGGTGCTTTGGGACGCTCTTGCTCTTTCTTTTCATGAAGGCACTCTCACGCTTCGTGGTTGCTTTCTTGCTACAACCAGATAACGATTTGCCAAGAATGAATCCAGATTTTGAAATGTTGCGGCGTCGATTGCGCCCAACTTGTCTGGCAAAGATTATCTCGTTGTCGATTGCGTGCTCTGCCGCGGGGAATGCGACGCTTCCCCAATTGCATATTGACGTATTTAGCCAGCACAATCTTCCAAAAACGCGTTACTGGAACAGAAATCTTGTCCGAAATTTCCATATATATACTTTTAGTGAATATTGTGATCGGAATTGATCATCTAGGGGAAAATGTCACACTTCCTTGTCCCCCACGGTTGGCACGGTGGGCGTGCTTCTCTAGACTGGCGTTCCAAAATTGTGGTAACCTGCGCCGATCGTTTGAAGTCCCACAACCTGTCCGATGTCCACTGGGCATGCTTATATATTTTTATACAGTCTGGCGTTCGACACCCACTGTTTTGACCTGCACCAACCGTTAAACAACGCACAAAAACATCTCAAATGGTCTACAGCAGCAGCAGCGTGAGCGAACTTACCGCAAGTTTGTTCGTCTCGACCAACATTTTGATCGTCTATCTTAGATCTACTCCCTAGTCCAATAATAAATGGGTTCTTGGCAGGTTCCTTGCTAATAAAGCCCAATGTCCTTTCTCATCTCCAAAAAAAAACAAAAAATAAATCGACTTCGGGAATCGTTCTGAAATGACTAGTCTAAAGGCGGGTTCTAAAAAGTCACCCCAAAAACAAATGTTCCCCTTCGACGAGATTTTTTTTTCGCCGCATTCCCGAACTTTTTTCTCTTGGGGCGTTGCTCCAATCGCTTCCGCTTGGCCGAGTTAGGGGAGGTAGAGCCACTCAGAAAGTTGGTCAGACCTACTCCCACCTTGGGAAGGGTACTGGTATGGATCGGTCTCAGGCTGGGCCGCGAGGCCCAGCTGTTACTGTATCTGGCGAGTGCCTTCGCATCATGTATGCTGGTTCGGACCAACATACTGTGCGGCATAAGTGGGTGATCAACAAAGACAGCACTAGACCCGAACGCGGAGTTAAGCTTTACACTGATCGCAAGGATGATAAGCAGCCTGGTGGATGGTCCAAACAGATTGTAGGTCACTGCCCCGCCTTCGAGCGCGATTTGTCCAAGTTGGCGAAAGAAAAGGCCAACGAGGTCATGCATGCAAAGAGGGAGACAGCCAAGAGGAAGAAGATACCGCAGAGGGGCGTGCGGTCGGGAGCAGACCACTCAATGAGCTGCCTAGTTCTGGCAGCCATCGGCACGAAGACTCGTGGTTCAGGCGGCAGCAGTGGGCCATCTGCTGACCCAGCAGAGGTGAGACAGATTTTTCGAGATGCGTAGGACATTACACACGCAGCTGCTTGAAGTCTATACCTGCTGCGGGTATGCCACGCTCCTGCTGCACCCCGCCACCCATGTTGCCGCCGTTGACGACTGCACACAACATCATGCTACACACGCGGTCACGGTAGTATGCTGAACGGAAGGATGTCACAAAATACATAAAAGTATCGGTCCGACTCTGCCGCCGACACACTGTTGTACGTGCCTCTGTGCTGCCACCAACTTACAGCTGCCGTTTGACTGGAGGGACACAGCTGCCTCATTCCTGGAAGCAATGAAGTCCATGACTTCCGAAGCCCTCTTGGCATGTCTGAGCCAGGAGGGGATACCAGCTGCGCAGGAGCTGCAGGAGCTGCAGCTGCAGCTGGAGGACGCGCGGCAGTTCCAAGCGGCATCGCGGGTAGCTCTCAAGGACGCAGCCGTGTTTGGCCGGACCAACCAGGGTAGGCAAACCTATCAGACGATTCTCACTGCCTGTGCCTACGATGGGGATGAGGGGACGCAAGCGTTGCCAAGCTACCGGAAGGCCGAGATACTCGGCGTTGACCCGGCTGAATTTTC